CTACCATCCATGTTTACTTCCAGACAAAAAGAGCACGCTGGCCTGTGACCTCATTGCGTCCTCTGCTGCGCATGCGGTACACTTGCGTTATATGACTGCAGTTCATACAGAAGATGACATAGAAGTCGCATATATTTGGAAATATGAACGACAACATAAAAAAAGTTCGCAAAAAAATTGGAATTGAGCATCAAGGCCTGCAGTGTGAACGCAGCCAGTGAGTCGATGCGATCAGCTGGTTTCCTTACATAGAAAACTTTAAACCAACCTGACTGGATGATGTGGTTGAATCCTCTCTTTAAAGTGACCTTAGATGACGTGTTGTGAATTAGAGCTATAGAAATAAACTGAATTGAATTGGTTGTGATGTAGATTTCTAAAATTCCCCTTGTTTATTAAAATACAAGAAAATGAGCTGTGTAAATCAGTTATTTGTTATTGTAATTGAACTGGATAGCGGCGATTCCTTGCAACAAGAAGGTTCTGGGTTCGATTCCTGGCCCAGGGACTTTCTGCATGGAGTTTGCATGCTCTCCCTGAGCTTTTGTGGGTTCTGTACAGGTACACACACTCTACCATTTAAAACATTCGTCGGCTGATGACATTAGAGCGTGGCGCCGAGGCCTGTTCGGATTGGAAGACTCCTCATTATGCAGCCGACAGATGCAGCCTTCTTTTTGACGGTTTTGAAGGAAGAGTCGCTGTGTTCCACGTAGCCTTAGGTATCCCACAATTCACTGCTTCTCCAAGCAAGCCGGCTGCTCCATGCTCAGAGGAAAAAGTGAAATGCCGCCGCACAGTGGTGAATATTGGAAGTGCAATTTAATATAATACGAGTGTCATAGTTTTGGTTATGTTGTGCTTTACTTTGCTCCTTGTTTTCTAGGTTTATTGGTTTAATTCCTATTTTGTTGTAGTTTCTAGATTTCCCCTTGGGTCCCTCGTTGTCTCCTCACTCCTGCTCCTTGTCAGCTGGTTAGCCCTGCCTTTGTCTCAGTCAGCTACATATACTCTCCCTCTGCAGTCACTCCTTGTTGGTTCCTTGTTGTTGCTGATCCTGTCATCGCTGTTGTCGTCTCACCTCGTCTCTCCCCGGCTCCTTGTACGCGTTTTCATGTCTCCATGTCTCCATGGTTCTGGTCTGTTACATTTTTAGTTGGATTTTTGGATTCTTGCTTTGTTAATCATTTTCATCACCTCATCATTTGGTTCCTCCAAACCACAACCAAAACGTGACGAGTATGTGAATAGTTCTGCCTGAAATGAATGAAAATAGTTGTTGAAATAAAAAAAAAATAAATAAAAAAAAAAGCTGTTTAACTGAGGCAGAATAGATGTGTTGGTGAGTGAGGTGGAGAATGGGATAAAGAGTAATGTGACAAATCAAATGAATTATTAGGAATACATCTGATGTATAGACTAATCTTTTAGCAATAAGTACCAAGACATCGTGGCACAGTTTAGCTTTGCTCTGCTGTGATATTTCAGCTTTATGCATAAACTCACAGACTTGTTTTCTTCGTAAAATCAGTTTCAGGCAGTGAGTTCATTGTTTGTTTGCTACCTGTAACACTTTTGAGGGAATTCCTAAAGGTAAGGGCCAATTGTCAGGAACCAAAGAGAATTAAAATCACAAAAAAAATATTTTAAAGAGCCCATAATCTGGATATAAAGATAACCAAGCTATTTACAAGATTTGATCAGGGCAAAAAATGATTGACTACAAATATTTATAATTATAAGTGGATAAATGGATCTTTAATGAACTGTGGTGTGAAGTCAAATCCGTTTTTTGGGTTCGGTCTTTCCGATTAGTCTGATCGACTTATAAACCAGCCATCATGATGGGCCAGGAAACCACATTGATTCCATCTTAACTTTCATTTTTTGGCGTTCTCCAGCAGAATAAAGCATCTATTTTGGGAAGTGTTTACAGCAATCAGTGTTAATGCATCACAGCTTTTTATATTTATGTGCTGATCAGTGGTTGATCATCATGGAGAGGAAAATGATGGTGAGAAAAGGTTTACACACAATTTGATTTAGGGCTTGAGCTACTCATAGGCCTTTTTTAGTTGGTAATTCCTCATGAGCACAAATTAAACTAGATCCTTATAATGATGTTGATCTATGATTAATATTTAATATAAAGTAGATCTGAACATCTAAGAGAGCTTAATCTGGCTTTAATTGTCCACCACACCATCTGTGTTCCTCTTTCCTCCAAAATGTGAGTTTATGGGTCACAGTTGGTTTAACGAACTTCTTATTTCCACTCTTGAAAAATCCAAACCTGTATGTGGAAAGTAACATATGCACATATTCAGGTGCATGGGTGAGTTTAATAAAAGACACTGGGCCACTGGGACCTCTGTTGGTTGATTTCTGCTCTTTAAAAGGGCACAAGCAGAGAAGAAAGACAAAACAAAAGGAACAAATGGTGACATATAATCGAAATAAAAGGCTACTACCAATAATAGTGTACAATAAAGTTATACCATGGATTAAGAGTATGGGGAAAAATTCACACATGAAAGATAACATTTGATATATTTTCTATATCTTTCTACTATTGTATTTGCTATGAAAACAAAATGGTTTAAGATAATTTTAAATCTAAATAGGCAGCAAAATGGATCATTTTGGTCCCAATAGTATAGCTGGAGTCCCCTGCTCCGAGCTAATAAGCTATAGAAAATGTTGACGGTGACCGCAGACACCTTGCCGCCCTGGGCACTGAGCCATTTAGGTCACAGTGACCATGATAACAGCTGGTTAAAGTCTCTACTGTAAAACAGAAGAAGGTGGTTTAGGTTGTACAGGTGAAAATGTTTCGCTCTGGGATGAGCTTCAGGCGGTGACTCGGTCTAGGCTGATAAATGTCCTCATGTGTTCCAGTCAGGTGTGAACAGAAGCGTCTGTGAGGCTGAGCGGGTTTGGCGGACAGCGCGTCTGTTCGATCTGGAGGCTGAACGTGTTCATTGGTCCTGTGGAGAAGCTCAGCGATGCCACACTCTACCAGAGAGAGAGAGAGGGGCGGGGCTACCAGGCAAGGAGCGCCTCCGCTATTGGCTGTTTGTGAAGGGGGCGTGGCTTTTTTCTGAGACAGGCGGTGCTTCTTGGATTTGTCTCATTTTTCCAGAAGGAGCTCAGAGGATGGTCCAGGGAGGCGAGACCGACCGACTCACCGCGGACCGTTAGACCGGCCCAGTCCGTGGCTACAGCGGGGCCAGCTGGCACCACAAACACCCAGTAACCGGCACAAACCGGATTTGACAGCTGCAGCTGTACGTGCTCCGCTCACCCGGCTCGGAGGCGACCGTCCTGGGGTGAACTCCTGACGGAGGCGGCCTCTCCCGACCCCCCGCTCCCCGGAGCTCCGCAGCACTTTGTGGGGGTTCGTTCTCCATCAGCCGGCTCTGCTCGCTCTCTGTCTCCGCTGGATGTGCTAGCATGAGCGCATGAGGGCGGTCCTGCTGGAGCGGAGCCGCATCCTGTGGATCGGGAGCAGCGCTTTCTCTATCTTCTGTTTTATTATTTTCTGATGCGTTTCCTTTTAATCGGGTGGATAATCTGAACGTTTTACCGACCTTCTGGGATTAGCTCATGGATATTCTGCCTTCAGGACACAAGTGGAAGGAACAACCTTGAGATTTCCAGGTGAGGGGGATTTCTTTCTTTATTTTCCTCTCATCTGAGCGAGCAGAAGCTGTTTAAAGCTCTCATCATCCCGCTGATGTGAGCCTGAAACTCTGCTGCTGCTGCTTGTTAAGGTCGAACTGATCCAGAAATGCTCCTACACTGGAAAAAACACTAGAAATCAGGAAAAACTTCCTAATTTAAGTGTATTTATCCTTAATTTCAGTAGGTAAATTAGATAGTTTGCCAATGGAATGAATATTTTACTCTAAAAATAAGATAATTACATAATATAATGCAATTGTGTTTTCTTATTTTTAGTGTAAATTGTCTTGTTCCTTTGGAAAAATGTCTTTTTTACCTCCTCAATCCAAGAACAAATGCACTTATTTTAAGAAAAAAATCTAAATTTTGATTTTATTCCAGTGTAAACCCCAACATGAATCTCTACTTTCTCAGGCTTTTATTCGTTTTATCATAATTTTTAACTCCAAACCTGCTTCTGTTTGGGTTCATGACCAAATCCAGGAATGATCATCCTGCAAGACCAGCTCCTAAAAACCATCTGCTCCAGATTTCTGGCTAATGATTCCCTCCACCGGTTTGTTCCTTTTTATAAATGAAAAAACATTTTATTCAGATTTAAATTCTAAATGGAACAGAAGCACAAATTAACCCTGAATTATTATGTTGCTGTTCATATGATGATCCATCCTCTCTGGAGATAAAATCAGATTTCATTTGATTTAATGGTTATATATATATATATATATATATATATATATATATATATATATATATATATATAT